AATACGTACCAATAAGTACATATCACTGCAGTTTCCAAAAGAAATGAACACTAGAGGCAGTAAAACTCCCACAACTTTTATTCCTTTTCACACAAAGTATGATTTACAGGTCCACAGTTTTGATTAATAAAGCCTAATTTGAGCATAATTGCTTGAAGAATATTATGTTATGAATTCAAAACAATGTTTTGAGATTTGAAAACCGATGCATTTGAACGTTGTCGACACATATCCAGCTTCATATGCATGAGTTTTCTAATTCAATAGGTTTGCTCGGTAGCTCACGCGATACGGCGTTTCACTTAGATGGTGAAGAGTTCCGGTTCGAAACCACGGTTCGACAAAACGGCTCAAATCTGCAAAAGGAAGTTAAAATAGCACGGCTGCATCAACAAATGCATTTTTATATCACTTTTGCATTTGTTAACACTATCGCGTAGGTTTAGGGTTGGGTTTGGTGTAGGGGATATGTCCAATATGATAGAGCATTAACTTTTAGCGACACTACTCGAATATTTGAATTATGAACCACCGCAATATGTACCTGAAGCAACGTAATACAAACACAGCAATACGTTCCTATATCAACGTAACAAATACGTGTCAGGGTCACGTATTGAACCTGCGTTCTAGCGCCACTCACTGGGCGTTTCACTTTGAACCTGCAGCGAAACGTGCTGTGAGGTACGTAATAACGGTGCTGCAGAAATGTATTTAGAGGCACATATTTCGAATGAGCCTGGGTTGCTATTGGATGTTGAGGCAGTGATTGACAGGTGGTGGTCATCTCTCTCACTCTCACCTGTGGTCGTGGATGTCCGGTGACCAGGCAGGTGAGCTCGAGCGTCTCTCCCTCTCGGATGGTGTAAACCCTCTCAGAGTAACGCTCCTCCTCCACGTTACACGCATGACCCGAGTGCACGATCTGGACAGTAGGAGGCGCTGTGAAGAGAACAGAGCGAAAGCATCACAATCATGCATCAAACACATCCCTCCCTCCGTCTCATCACTCTGTATCGAAGCACGAATCCTCATATTGTTAATCATGTAAACGCACACGTCCTTGAGCAGAATGAGTCAGCTGCCTTTGGATTTGAGCTCTATCAAGCACAGTTCACTCTGCATCACATGACGACTACCTAGACGACTAATTCAACATCTAACAATCCCTAGAGAAGCTGGGCAATGATTAATGAACGTACACGCTAGAGTCTGACTCTTTGATTTAATGCAGGATAAAAAAGAGTGATATTCATGATCTCCTTTATGTTTAAAGCTTCTTCATGTGCATCGTCTGTACTGTACAAGACTAAAAAGTGTTCTTACTATACCTGAGGGAAAACTATACTGTAATAGATTGATCCTTACATTTCATGTACTGTAATTTTTTCAGTAAAATACTGGTAAATGTATCATTTTTTTAATTAAAAAAATAACGTCATTTAATTTACAGTGACAAACGGAAAACTGACATTCATTGTGTGACATATGATTGTATATCGCCTGAAATTTATTTCTTAATAGTTTTTGTTATCAGTTATGAATTCAATTTAAATTTAATGAAAGTTTAGGAAATTTTGTCATGTTTTTTTGCAATTTTTTATTAATATATATATATATATATATATATAT